CCCCAAAACCCCAAAACCCCAAAACCCCAAAACCCCAAAACCCCATTTCAAAAAATTTAATAGAGATTATTAGATAATAAATTCGATAAATGCAAAATCCAGATCTTCAAGCTAACGACTTAAACCTTTACAAATACAAAAACAAGCTGAGTGATGAACAGAAGCAACTTTTGAAGCTGCTGCATGTACTCCACCTCATTGCTTTCGCAGCTTCTATTGGTACTGGAATATTCACAACATGGATCATCTTCCACAAGAGGCCACAGATAGGATACTTTATCTTCCTGTTCCTAAACATAATCGAAAAGCCAGTTTCTTTCATGTACATCTTCTTCCCCAACCAGAGCATTTCCCATTTCTGTAAGATAGGGGTTTTCTTCTGTTGGGGAATCAACTGGATCTACGCCATAATCTGCTTCGTGGTCCTATTTATACTAGCGTAAGTATTCCCTGATCTATCCCTATAGTGTAGCCAATGCATTCGGTAACTTTATCGGTGCTCTTTTTGGAGGACAATACCACAGCTTGCCAATGCACTTTAAAGTATTCATTTACCTTTCCTCAGCTGTCTTGATTCTTTATATCCTCACTGTAATGCTGTTCTATTTCGCAAGGGCACATATTGCCAAGAATATCAGGTCCAAAGCTCATGACGAAATGCGCCAGCAATTCATTCACGACAAAGAGACAGCCCACTTACCTGTAATCCCTGATCAAATGGAGAGAACTCTGACTCCAACAACTGCAGATTCAGGTGACAACAGTCTCTTCTAATGGTTTCCTAAATTAAAATTATCAAGTGTATCCCTCTCTTAATTATGTCTCAAATATCCTTATTGGTCTCAGACTAGATCAATATTTTAAATTAGGCATCCTCCAAAACCTCTCCCATGTTTGGATGGATGATCTTCGTTGGATTGATGGGAGGTACCTCTTACGTAAATGTGATGTATCAGATCCTCAACTCTGATAAGCTCAAGAAGACAGAAAAAGAGCTTGCAGTTATAACTACATGTATCTTTGATGATATGGGGATCCTACTAGCTTCCTTATTTTCTCTGACTCTTTCAAATACCCTGTTCAAACACTATTAACAAGATTCAATGACTTTTTATACTTAAGGGGTTTTGGGGTTTTGGGGTTTTGGGGTTTTGGGGTTTTGGGG